GGGAGTCTGCRTAGCCTCAGGGGATTGTGTGAAACAGGTATAAATTTGCTGTAAATTTGTGTTGTGCCTTGGTTTCTGCAGAGCTGTAGCTCAGATATCCACACAGGCACACAGGGAACCAGCAAAGACAGACAGGTGACACAGGGGCCCTCCAGGTCTCTGGGTGTGGACACACTCATGCACAGGCACAACACACTTTTATTTCCTTTGTGACAAAGTATGGAGTCCATACCACCCATAAGCACCCTGTATGTGTGTTATTTCCACAGCAGAAAGCAACCAAAATGCTTTAAAAAAAAAAAAAAAAAAACAGTGTGAAGGTTAAAAAAACAGCCACCAAAATGTTAGGAAACACCAGACTGAATTATTCATCCTCCCTCCATCTATATTTTTCCTTCTACATACAACAATCACACTTTTTTTCCCTCTTTTGGCTCTTTCAGGGCACAGGGAAGACATTGCCCTTCCTCAACCATGGACCTGTATTTGGTTTACTCTTCACTCCTGCTTTCCTGCAGACTTGTTGAAGCTGCTGGTGCTCATCAGCCTGCATCCAAACTCTGCAAAAGTGATGAATTTATCTTCATATCTTCTCCCCAGATTTAGGGATGRGARGAAGTGGAAGAAATTAAGYRCTGGATTTGYASTTCAGGTTGAGWTAAACATTGTATTTTCAAAGAATTTGGTATTCTGAAGGATTAATATGAGCATGAGACTCTCTGGCTTTAGATATCACAGAGTTCTGCACCCACAAAGCAGAGTTCAGGGTGTGAAATTTGGCATCTTAATGATGATGACACATTTAGTACCTGTTTCCATGGGACAAAATGGGGTTGAATTTTCCACTGCCATATAGAACCTCTATGAAAAGAAATAGGGGTAAAATGAACATTTTTTTTAAGGCTTAGTTTATGGGTTTTCTTCAATATGATCTTCTTGAGGTTTGTTATCCCAAATGCCTCCTAAAAAACAAAACAAGGTTCCCTCTGGTCTCTTCATCACCCACTCTGATTCTTCCCCAGATTAAAACCCATCTTGAGTGAATCGAGAGTCTCAGTGACCAAAAATGAGTATGACAACATGTGGTCTATGACTCTGGAGACATTAAAAATACGAGTGATTCTGGAGGGGAAAACAACCCGTGATGAGGACTCAAAGACCATATTTTGGGGGGTAATTTCAGTGTAGTTTTATTCTGGCCCTGAGGCCTGAGTTCCCATGAGTGTAGTAGGAGGAGGTCCAAGGAAATCATCAACTACCACCTTGTAGAAAATCACTTCAAAAACATTGCTAAGCTGAACCTAAATGCAGGTCTAGATGCATCATAAGTCAGCACATGATAAAAATKATTCAAAAGCACATGATAAAAATTAAAGGTTGGTAGATTGTGTTAAATGCAACATTTCTATTTAGCCTTAAAGCACTGAGGCTGCTAATCTTGAAAACATCCCTTCGATATCACATCTGCACACATGTGCACCACTAAGGGAACAGTGGATCTAAAATACTGATATTAATATATATTAATATAACTAATATTTCCTAGAATATCTGAGTTGGAGGGGATCTGCAGGAATCTTCCAGACACATCAGCACAGCAGTTATTACTCACTCAAATTCCCAAAAGGAATTTTGCCTGCAAAAAGACCACAAGATTTGACCCCACTAATGACTTCCACGGTGTTTTTTGCACAATATAGATTACCAGAGTGGAGCCATGACTCAGAGGCTTTCCTGCTCCAACCTGCCCATCATCAGCTCTTCCCTGCAATTTCAGCAATGAAGAAAGGCAGAGTGGCCATTCACAAGGTGTTTGCCCAAGAACAACAACTCTCAGCCTTTTCTGTAAACCAGATTTTTACTCATTAAAGGGAAGGGAAGAAGGAATAAAAGCCCGCCCCAGCAAACAAATGAAACACAGCAAACACAAAACATAAGCAGAAACACACACACAAAAAAAAAAAATATAAGACATTAAAATCTTGGAATACTTGCTCAAGGAGAACAAAAATTTAGAAAATTAAAATTAATTGAGAAATTGGTAGTACACTAATGTTAATTTAGCATCTTATGCAGTAGTTGGGGGGATGTGATCTTAGGGAYTCTGTTCAAACTCCTCCTGACACTGAAATATAAGATAATTGATGTAAGGAGTCTCTAGACAAAATGTATATATTTCCTAGAGTCTATGCAGACAGAGTGTCTCCATTTGTGTCCTTTTCAGGATTCTCATTCTCTGGGCTGGCCCCAATCCTGCTTCATCTCACTCAATGCCCCTAAGACCTGTGAAACAACATTGAAAGAAAGTGCAAGAGTGTGTTTTCACTTTTTAARAAAAAAAAAAAAAAGAGGTAGACAGAGAAACTCAGGARCTGGTTCCACCTAAAGCAAATGGAAAAAAAAATCCCACAGTAATTGCCAACTGCAAAATTCTGCCATGCAAATCCTCCTAATTTTTGCCATTGTTGAGGTCCTGAAATCAATATTTTAGTCCAGCTGCAATCTAKTGATGAGCAAAAGGAGGGAAAGGTTGTAGCATTGCGAATTAAAAAATAATAATCTCTCAAGCTTAATATCAGCAAAGATGATTATTTCCTTTGATTTGTSAGGCTAATTGAAAATAGCTTTATAGTTCGCAGATGATTAATTAGGAGCCAACAAGATCTCCATTTGCATCTCGGTAATTCTTCACTGTTTTATTTCAACGTTTAGTCTTTATGCTTWAAATATTCATTGAGAAAGCAGAAAGGTGATTAACATAAGATTTGAAATGTGCACCATTTGTTCTGACTTTTTTTTTTTTTACACATTTTTGTCAACAGAGAAGAWAGGAAAGAATATACAACATTACAAAACGATTACTGCCTGTTCCGCTTCCATCTGCCAAATCCTCCTTTATGGTAGACATAGTTTAACTTATTTCATTTTGAAACAGGGGAAAAGAGCCCAAATAAAGGTCAATCCTCTGCCCTCTCCTCCCTCTTTCCCAAATCACCGACTGTTTGACTGCTGTATAATAATCCTGAGAGTTTTGAAATTTTTTTTCTTATGTGAAATACCCTCACTCGTGTCAACCATCCTGCAGCAGCAGATTCAACCATGCCACTGCTACCCCTCCCTCCAGAAATCACCCAAGAAGAAGTGGGTTCAAACAGATGTGACAGATATGATGACATTTTTCCATCCACCTGGCACTGAGTAGCAGGACTACATGAATTTCTGGGTGAAATATTTCACTTGGCTTTAGAAAAAGTAAAAATAATTCGCAGGTCAGGTCTATTGAGGGTTTTACATCTGGGGGTTGTGTTTTTGTTTGGGATTTTTTAAACATTTTCTCACAGCCCTGGCAACCTCTGTCTTATCAAACCACGCTTAAATCTCCAGCAAATGAAGTGGTTTGATAAGAAGTTTAACCCTTCATTTGGAAGGTGAATGTCCAAACCTTATGGTGTTATAAAGAAGCTGGATGAGTAAACCTTAGAAAACTAAAAGAAGGATGGACTCCTAAGGATTAAAGCACCAGAACTCAAATTATAAAAGCCAGACTCGGCTGTTATCAATAGTAATATTAATTAAAATTGCACTATTTCAAAGAGAGCTTTTGCTGGCTTTTGGGGCTGACTAATGGCCTATGAATTTTTGTGAATTTTTCTCTCTCATCAAACCCAGCCTTTTGTACAGGGTTCTGCCCATTCCTCCAAGGACAAGGRCAGATCTTGTCCATCCTGATTTCACATCAAAATCTCAGCTGTCATCTGTTTGCTCTGTCATTGAGTACCCCATGAGACAGAGCAGAACGKCCTTTTCCAGCTCCTGCCCAAAACTTTTCCTTTTTTTTCAAAAAGCAGCCAGGACCATAAGGACCCTGCTGTACCTTTGCACTTCTCCCAGCCCCACATTTTTCTCAGCACCACTTTGGCCATGATTTTCTGAGACCCAAAGGTACCCATCCCACACAGGAGCCCAAAATCCCTCAGGGGCCCCATCTGGGCTGTGATTTCAGGGACAGGGAGCACACACTGGACAGTGGGGTTACACTAACATGCAGTCCATTTATTTTTGAGGGATTTTTTCCTTTGTTCTGTGATTTATCTTTTTTTTTTTTAATCAAGCCACTGCAAACATTGCTTTGGCTGTCAGCATGAGCGCAGAGACACACATTCCCGTACCCGTGGTAACTATGTAATAAATACCATCCAAACAAATGTTAAAGAAAATTAATAGAGAAATATTCCTTTTCCCACCCCCAAGCACAAAACACTGTTAAGTCAACAGAATTTAATCTAGTTTATTCTCCAAAAAAAAAAAAAAAAAAAAAAAATATGAAAAAAAAAAAAAAAAAAAAAAAAAAAAAGCAGGTCTTATCACTAGCAGTAAATAAATTTGTACAACCATTCAGTCTGTATAATAGGATGAAATAAATCTACATCTTTCTTATTTTGGTGCGTTGAATTATACATACAAACAACAATTACAGGAACTTGTTCACAATGCGCATAGACCTGGAGAATGGCTATCTGAAACCCCCTTGTTGGCAATGTCCGCATGTTAACACTGATTGCCTGACACCATTGGTACTTCCTATGTAAAAGGCCCGTGGCCCAAAATGAATGATCTCCCTACAGGTTTTATTTATTCAGTTATTTAGTTAGTTAGTTAGTTAGTTAATGCATCATCAAAACCGTTCTAGCCAGCCCCCTCCCCCTCCCCGGAAACGAAAAAAAAAAACCGAAAAAAAAAACCAACCAAAAAAAAAAAAAATCCAAAATAAAAATAAAATAAAAGGAGAAGACATGACTGGCAGTTGGTCCATTTGTTCGTAAGACCGCGTTTCCTCTTGGTCTGCATTGTTTGTTTTTCTGGTTTTTAAATTGTCCTCCCATCTTCTTTTTTTTTTTTCTTTTCCTTTAAAAAAAAATTCTCTCGGAGTCCTTCATGCCTTTTTCTTTACAGCTCCTCAGATGCAATAAAGTCTTCCTCAAATGTACAGTATTTCTTACAATATAAGTTATATGCAATGTTCAGCGTTTTTTATTTTATTTTATTTTATTTTTTTCACAGCACTAGAGATCCTGTCCAATAGGGAATGCAAGTTCTGAATGGCTTATTCACAAATGGTATCCAGATTCAGTGGGTAAGAATACATAGACGCCATAGTGAGTTCCTTTAAAAAGTGGCAAACATCACTTTTTTAAAACTTTTTTTTTTACTTTTTTCTCTTTTTTTCTTTTTTTTTCCTTTTTTGTGCTTTTTGTAGTTTTTTTCTGCATTTTTAAATTTTTTTCTCGCTCTCTCTTACGCCTTCAAATAACTCTTTTTTTTTTTTTTTTTTTTTTTTTTTTTTATTCTTTTAAATTTTTTTTCCCCCTCCCATTCGATTTCGGGACGTCAGACCCATAACCACACGCCTGCAAAAATGCAAGTAGTATATAAAGTAAATCTCATTTTGAGACCGTAAGCATTCAGCAGGGGAGTCTCTTGCTAACCCATGGCAGTGACCATGCTGGAAGGGTGGTGAGGTCCGAAGGAGAGGCTGGATGGAGGATGCATCGGTGTCGGTGTGGTCAGCATGTGGCTGGAGTGACTGAAAGGTGAAATGTGGCTGATGGAGGACATGTGTCTGGAGAGGGCGGCGGGGTTAAAGGAGCTGCTCTTGGGAAAGTCTTCCAGRTTGTCATGGACCTTTTTGCACTTTTTGGATTTGCTAGACATTTTTCGGTTTCTGGTCTGAATTCCTTCTTTCTTCATGGTCAGGGGTCTGTTAATCTAAACAAAAATCAATTATTTTTTTTTGTGCTTCCATCCCTTCTCCCCAAATCACCATGGGATTCATGCACCCTGTGCCCCAGCCCAGCAGGACCAGCTGATCACAGACCTCCCTCCTCCCCTGTACACACCATGGCCACCCAACATCTCTATTCCAATCCCAAAATTCAGATCCCTCCAGGAAATCCCAAGTTCAGCTAAAATTTCTGAAGACAAGATAACAGAAAATTGCTGGCAGAGCCACACAGGAGCAAAACATACCCGAATAATTCACAGCAGCTGAAAAATTTCAACTATCTGCACATTAGGTAATTGCACTGTGTTTAGGTATGAAACCAATCATTACCTCCTGGAAATATTCCCCACAGACACATCTCACCCCAAGGCTTCCTGTCTGATCTAAAATCATTAGCAGCAACAACTGCTGAGATTTCAGTGCTGCAAGGAATCTCAAACTTTCACAGCTCCATTAGGGAGCTGGGCAACTCTTCAGAAAAGGGACAGTATTTGTCTTATTTTTTCTCTTTCCAAAGATTTTGCTCTGATCATCCTTTCTGGTTTACTCTTGCTGATCTGATTTTATTTCTAAAG